CAACCAATCCAAGGGCTCCAACTACAACAGGGATTGTTGATGTTCCCATGTGCTACATTTGTGAGATTTCGATATAAAAGTCCCTGTATTTGGATAGCTTTTTAAAGACATTCAAAGATACATTACAGCCTGCAGTGTCTGCCATATCTTATAAGGAGTCACCTTTGTTTTTGTTTGCGGTCTCTAATAGCAATGTCTAAGCGGTTAGCTTTGATTGTTCTATCTGTGTGTATTGTGTAGTCCCATAAAATTGTAACTGGTCCTATCTCCGTAACCGGGTCTGAATGGTGTTCATACCAATTTCTTTCAGTTTCCTTCCCGTAAAAGTTGCAGATTTTCCAGTGAAGATATTGACCAACTCTGTCGTACTGGTTTTTACATTCAGTGGGTGCCAATACCTTGCAACCTGATACAAGATGATCGATTGTTTCTGGGTAATTATCACAGAACCTGCATTTTGGGCTAACACAATATTTTTGTATGTGTGCTTGATGATTTATAGCTAACAAGCACTGGTCCTGTGCAGCAAGGATAAAACCTTCTTCTTCTTCTTCTAATTTTATTATTATTATTATTATTTATATCGCAATCTATATAACGATAATATTGCTGCAGGTTCTAACAATAACGTAATGGGAAAAATGCACCGACAGTGATAGAAATATCGAGGAATCGGCTTAAGTTTCAGGGATCTGATCTTCGGCTAAGCCGAAAGGGTTCTCGTAACTCTGTCAGGAAAAGAAACTGCTCTGTTTAATGAGGTTTCCTTAAGTATCTGTCTCTATTTCTGAGATGAGGTATTATGTAAACTATTTATATTATTCGGACTATTATCCTCATCTCTGTCGCCATATTTATTACAACGTTTCGGCCTTCTTCATGAGGTTGGAATGTCGAACTGAACCCTTTATTTCGTTCACTGGTGTAGACCACGTGCCATGTTTTTAATGGATGCCAGTTATCAGTTATATCCTGTTAATTCCCCTTTCCAAGTTCTCCACTGCCTTAACCGGGTATTGAACTCACACACTTTGGGTCCAGTCACTGGATCTAACGTCTTTATCCACTGTGCCATATGTCATTGAGGTTTCTCTAGATGTAAATGGACAGAAGTTACGGAGATAGGACCAGTTTTACAGATCGATTGCCTTCATCTTACTATCAAAGTTTGCTGTCCATAGATGTTTCTAGATGGACACCCTGAACATGATAATGGTGACAGAGAGAAATAACCCTTTCCTTATAAGGAAACATTCAGCTTTCATTGACCGAAATGTTAGCGTTTGGTCAGATTTATAAAATATTTCTCTTAGAACAGATCTTTTTCCAGAAAATAGGCTCCTTAAGTCCAGCAACCATTATCATTTTTTCCAGTAATGATGAGCGGTCCATTCATAAACTAATCTTTTGCTTAACGTAATATGAAACGCGAACATCTTGATCATGTCATTATTTTCTCTACGCTACTTATTATTCATATTTTTCATTTTTTTATTTTTTACAAGTTGTGGTTTGTGCTTGTTCAACGTCAGCGTATAAGATCTGATAAAAGATTCTCTTTAAGAAATATCCGTTTGAGGCCATTTTAATCGTGTATCTGAAAAAAGACGTTTGTAAGACGAGGTTTCCTTAAGTATCTGTCTATATTTCTGAGATGAGGTATTATGTACACTATTAACATTATTCGGACTATTGTCCTCATCTTTGTCGCCATATTTATTACAACGTTTCAGCCGTTGTACGCTCCGGCCTTCTTCATGTGGTTGGAATGTCGAACTGAACCCTTTGTTTCGCTCACTGAGGTAGATAGTTTAGAAATTGCTGAACAAGTTGGATGACATGCAAAATGTCTATATGAGAGTCCAGCTCTGATAAAGCACAATTCTTTAGGATAGTGTTTTGTGTTTAGTAGCCACTTGTGGTGTTGGGCGAAACTATCTTTAGAGTAAGTTATTCATGGTTAATTACCTTATCTTCTGTATTGACTTTGTTACAAAGGATTTGTACAGCGAGGTATTTGAAGTAGTTAGCGATTATTAATTCTGGATTTCCATGATGGATTCAGTGTATGTATAACAAAGATATTTTCAAAATGGGTTTTCATTAACTCAGTGAATGAATAGTGATTTAATTTAAGTATGATATACCCGTTTTTTATGTGTTTTTTTAATTAAGAATCCATCCGTGACGCAGGCCAACATCGACCCTGAAACCTGGGAAACCGTTGCTGCAGACTGACCTTCCTGGCGTAGGGCCGTCAGGAGTGGTGGTTGATGAGACTTTCGAGTCTAACTATCAGCATGAAGATTATTAGCGACGTTCTGTCAGTGGGGATAGACTTGCCCGGCTGCGTCCCCACCCTCTCACTTCTCTGTGACTCCCGCTCATGAATCTTCAAGAGAGATGATGACGATCCCGATGTTCGGATGCGAGCGGGTGCTGACTACGACTACTAAGAATCACTAATATGAGTAATAAATAAATAATGACGATCCGGCCGAATGTATAGAGGTAGACATGCATCTGTAATCCATCATATAAAAAACTGATTATCTTTACTGAGTGCACCACATTTACGGCCTTGTGCCACATCTAAGCTACGCTTGGAAAATCACCATGTAAATTTTGAAATTCCCAAGGAAAGAAACAAACAGATGACTGAATGCAGCAACTATTCCTTTTTAGTTGACTTACGGTGGAGTAATGGATAGCGGCTCGGATTGAGGAATTAGAGAACTGAGTTCGAATTCCAGTCGAATCTATGACATTCACTTACGTGCTAATACCCTTCGGAAAGGGGTGAATCCTCATCTTCTCCCTCCCAACTATGGGTAAATAGCAGGAAAGACCGGGTTCTGTAGCCTTTTTATGGCCACTGGTTTACCGCAGAAAGAAATGGCAACCTACTGCGGGAAAAAATCTGCCTCGTCAGTCATGTATCGAAAAATAGATGATCGCCTAAACGTGTATCACACATGGCACATAACTAACTGACTAGATTGGCAGTAAGGTCTGAATCCTCATCTAAATAGCAAGACAGACCTGATTTTGTAGTCTTGGATCGGGTTCTCAAACCTTGGATGTCAACTGTCTACAGCAGAAAGAAATGGCAACCTACCGCGGGAAAAAAATCTGCCACGTTTGTCATGTATCGAGAGATAGATGATCGCCTAAGCGTGTATCACGTATGGCACATAACTGACTGACTAGATCCGCAGTAAGGTCTGAATTCTCATCTAAATAGCAGGACAGACCCGATTTTGTAGTCTTGGATGGCAACTGTCTACCGCAGGCAAACTACTGTGGGAAAAAAATCTGCCTCGTCAGTCATGTATCAAAAGATAGATTATCACCTAAGCGTGTATTACGCAGAGCACATAACGGACTGATGCCAGTTCAGGAAATAGACGACCATAGTTATTAAAAACTTTATGATATAATTTAAAATACTGGGGTAGAGTTTTAATAGAAAATTGCGACCGAATTCTAAAAGCGCCTTAGAATCGTAAAAAAATTGAGATCGAAAAATCGAGCAAAGTATTGAGAAGTAAAAGAATGCTGAACTTTTATACCAACGAATGATGGCTAAAAGAGGTGACTTCCCATAACAGGGAGGTGGCATGGTCCTACAGAAAGATGCTGAACTGCTATTTAATATCATCCATTCTCTATGCAAATGATTGATGGATAGCCTTCTCGCAGATGATGAAGAGACTGAACACAACACAAATTTTAACCTACAGAAGGATACTGAGGATATGAAACATGTGAGCATCGAGGAACTTTGAAGAAAAATGGAATCGAAGACGACGATTTTCAGTTGTCTTTAGGATCAGAAATAATAACGTAATTAGTACAGAGGGCTTAGAGAATTTGACACTCACAGGACATGTTGAAGAGAAGTCAGGCAGAGGAAAACAGCGATTAACATACCTAGCGAGCTTGTTTTTGTAAATGGATGAAAAAAAATTTTCTAGATGTTTACAGGATAGGAAGTTGTGGAGAGCAATGATTACCCACGTCCTGAAGGAACACGGCGCACAAAAAAAAAAAGAATGCTTAGTTTGTATTCTCCTATTCAAATATACCACAATTTATTTTCTATCCTACGATTATTAATAATAAACTAGCTCGACCCGTTTAAATTGACAAGTAAGATCACTTCTCATCGCATATATATGCTGGTCTCTCTCCCTTTGTGTGTATCTTCCAAATTCGCCACGTCCGAGTTTTACATCGAAAAGTTATAGAAGTACTGCTTACATTCCTATACGAAGAGAGGAAGACGAAATACACTAGTATTTCCTATTGCATTCTCATTTTTTATTTTTCTTTGATACTTTCGCTCCATAAAGAATTTGAATAAATGATAATTGTCATATCATTTCGTACCTATCTTCCTATCTCTCACTAGTTCCTCCTTGATACCCAACCAGAAAGCCAGTCTTTTAACGTACCTTATATGTCGAGGTACAAAGGCGATCGTTTAAAGCAAAAAAGCAAAAGTAGGAGACCGTCTTATACTCCAGCTATAAAATGTGATTCTTAAATCCTTTACGGTAAGTTGTCACCATCGGAAATTTTTTTACGGTAGGCAAACCACTGCCTCGCCTCCTTTTTTCGATGATGTTGAACAAAAGCACAAGCCGTTTAAACGTCACATTGTTAAACAGGAACGAGTGGATGGTTAACGTGAAAAAGTCTACCGTAATAGTCTACCGAAAACACAACCCCTAGTTATGAGGTACTGTAGATTGCAGTAGTTAATTAACAATATCACAACACCGTTCTTTCATTAGAACTTGGGTGAAAAGAATGTATATGCTTAATGGATTTATTTAATAAATTCAATACAATATATTTTAAAATAGGATTTCTTTTTTTGGTGGCGGGTCGACTTGTACGGCGATTATTGCCTGAAACTTACATTTTAGCTTGAAAATATGGGGTCCACTTGTGCTTCAGCATATACGGTATTTCTTTTCTCTTAATCTCTTCAGCTCTCTCTCTCTCTCTCTCTCTTTCTCTCTTTCTCTCTAATAATTATGTTTGACAAACCGCCACACGCCGGTTAATAGGATTAACGCTATAGCTCACAGACCCGAGCTCAATACGAACACATTTAAACCAGTGTGAAATCCGAAACTCAGTATGCCACTTACTCATCGAAAAGACGAATATATATATAGAAGCATAATACGAAATTTTTGGACATATGTCCTTTTTCAACTAGACGAGAAACAGGAAAATGCAGTGTGCATTTTTTTCTGGTGGGATTTTTTCGGCATATGTTATATTACTGAACACATCTAGTCGGTTAGGGCTTATTTTAGAGATGTATATTGTTTGTAGACGGCTTTTTTATGGGAAATGTAATCACAGAGTATGCCGAAATCGCTATTTAAAACTGGAATGTGTGAATTTATTTTAAAATTATTTTACTATCATGTATAGTATAGTATAGTATACTATATATATATATATATATATATATAAAATAAAAATATGTTGTAGTGGTTCCAACGAGAGAAAAGTATGTATATTAAAAAGAAGAGGGTGCCGCAAACGTTTTTGGTGGTAATGTGGATTTATTGAGAAAAATATTATACTTTTGTTTTACATAATTTCACGACACGTGTTTCTGGTCTGGTCTCGCAACCGTCTTCAGGTGAAAGTGGAGATTTTTTACATATTATTAAAAATAATTAATTTTTTCTTCATGTTCAATGTGGAATATTCTCGATATGAGACATTCTGTTTGTGTGTTGGCAATCCGAATTTTCTTTCTAGAATTGTCAATGAAGAGTTCTGGTGAAGGGTCATAAAACAATTAAGGTTTGTCCAGCGAGTAGTTATCGGCATTTAATCTTTTAATGTTTTACTGACCTCTATGTGCTCTTGGATCTGTTTCTATTTTGGCGTGTTCCTGTCAGCATGCGTGTATATATGCGTGCGTATATTTCCTTTACTAGTAAGAAATATACGCACGCATATATACACGCATGTTAAAGAAATTACTATATATATGCGTGCGTATATTTCCTTACTAGTAAAAATATACGCACGCATATATACACGCATGCTGACAGGAACACGCCAAAATGCGTGCGTATATTTGCGTATATTCCTTACTATATATATATATACGCACGCAAATAAAGAAAAGAGATAAAAGACGCATGCCTGACAGGAACACGCCAAAATGCGTGCGTATATATAATTGAGAATGGTCTTTTATCGATATTGATCATTCTTCCTATATGAGTACAAACAAACCTCTCATCTTCAAATGCAATGGACAAAATCTCCAGAAAAATAATAATAATAAAAAAAAAACTGCAGATAAAAAAATCCCCCAAAACTTACAAATCGCCAGCGATGTATTTCAAAAGTGGCGGGCTTAGCGGAACGAGTCGTATTAGTTCTCAAAGTGACCGCTTGGCGGCGGTGGTGGCGGGCGTTTGGCTTGTAAACAAAGATGGGTGTATAGTGTATAAAGTACAATACATTAGCGCGTGCATAAGAAAGTAACTGTGAGAAATCTATTATTTTTGTTATTTTGATTAATATATCTATATTAGGTATATATTTATTTATGTTTATAGTATTTATATTGGGATAATAACTAGTGGTAGTTGATATAGCAGTTTTATAAGTAAAAAATAATCCCTTCCCATCTACGGTCAATCGGCTTCAACGGACTAGACCATACACCATAAGTCCGTTGATGAGAGGCTTGTCTGTATATATATATATATATATATATATATATATATATATATATATATATATATATGCGTGTTTGTGTGTGTATGTGTGTGTGCAGGGGGTGTATAAATGATATATATATATAATATATATATATTGTTAAAAATTTGTATTTATTATATATTTAATTTGTTATTACTGTTACTACTTTTAAATACCCAAATTAAAATATATATCTCATTCCCTCTCTCCTTTCCCCTCTCTCTGTATATATATGTATATATATATATATATATATATATATATGTGTGTGTGTGTGTGCATGTATCTGAATTATATATATATATATATATATATATATATATATATATATATATATATATAATAATATATATATATGTACTGTTAAAAATTGTATAATTATATTTAATTTGACATTATTGTTACTAATTTTAAAATAGTCAAATTGACATATATCTCTCATTCTCTCTCCCTCTTCCCCCTCTCTCTCTGTATATGTATATGTGTGTGTGTATGTGTATAAATTATATATATATACATATATATATATATATTTGTATAATTATACCTAATTTCTTATTACTGTTACTACTTTTTAAATAGCGAAATTGAAATATCTCTTTCATTCTCATGCCAGAAATTCAGACAGAAACTATTTCTCTTTGTATAATCTACAACTGAAAATTGGTTAAGGGACAAAAACTTGTTCGCTTTATTTAATCTACAGCAGAAAATTGGTCAATGATGAGGATAATAGTCCATATGTAAATAATGATAACTCCTGCAGGCAGAAAGTCGTTCTCTTGATTTAATCTACAGCGGCAAATTAGCTAAGTTGAGGATAATAATCCACATATAAATAATAACTCCTCATACCAAAAATTCAGACAGAAACTATTTCTCTTTGTATAATCTACAGCGGAAAATTGGTCAAAGAAGAGGATAATTGTCTACAATTAAATAATAATTCTTCATACGAAAAATGCTGATAGACACTAGTTCTCTTTATTTAATGTACACCAGTAAATTGGTCAATGATGAGGATAATAGTCTGCGTTTAAATAATGATAACTCCTCATACCAGAAACTCGAGATCTTGATTTAATCTACAGCGTAAAATTGCCTAAACATGAGGATAATAGTCCACTATTAAATAATAAGTCTTCATACCAGAAATGTCGATAGAAACTAGTTCTGTTTAGTTAATCTACAACTGAAAATTGATTAAAGATATGAATAGTCCACAGACAGAAACTAGTTCGCTTTATTTAATCTACAGTAGTAAATTGATCAATGAGAGGATAACAGTCCATATGTAAATAATGATAACTCCTCATACCAAAAAACGCAGGCAGAAACTAGTTCTCTTGATTTAATCTACAGCGGCAAATTAGCTAAGATGAGGATAATAATCCACATTTAAATAATAACTCCTCATACCAGAAATTCAGACAGAAACTATTTCTCTTTGTATAATCTACAGCGGAAAATTTGTCAGAGAAGAGGATAATAGTCCACAATAAAATAATAATAACTTATTCATACCGGAAATTCGGAAGTAATCTTAATAAATAAGTTCCTAAATAATGCTAAATTACTCTTTCTTTCTTTCTTTTCTTTTTGTGTTATTTCTTTCTGTCAGTCTCTTTATTTAATTCCCGCTACAGATGAAAGTTAAGAAAATAAACAAAACTGTAAAATGTTCCTTTCGAAGGTTCCTTCGGGCTACCCGAAACAAAATTCACTTGAGGAGAGTTTGTGAAGCGCACTGACTAAATCATTCTGTTCGATACAATTGTGATGACAGTACAATTCGTTAAATATTTGTCTATATTACTTTCCCTATTAATACAACGGCGATTCCTTCTTCTGCATTTAAAATTTCGCCAGCCTGGGTTTAATCAATTTCCAATTAACATTGATTGATTTCGTTTAAATTTGAAGAGCAGCAGTTATGAGTTTTTGTGGCTTTATCGTAAAAAGTAGCCGGAAATTGACTTCAAATTAGACTTTCAATTTTTACTCGTACGTATGTGTGTTAAGTGTGTGAGCATTTAAAGTCAGTTTCTATTGTTAAAGATTACTAATTTTCATACCGTCGTTTGAGAGACCTTTACATTGATGGAAGATCGCTAATAATAAGTTCGCAGTCTCACTGTCTAAGATCGTTTATTTTGTACCAGAAAGTCTAGTCAAGATTATTAACTACAAAGTTCGAATGTTATCCATTGAAAGTCTCAATTCGAATTTCCATGACGCATCGTTCTTTTTTGTCTGTCTGTCTGCTTGCTCCCCGCCACACACAGTTCCACACTCACACACACACATACACACTCACCCGCACACACAAACACAACTATATATATACAGTGACACGCATAAGTATTGGATACATGTTATTTTCTGTTATAACTCTAGTTTAGGTTCGCCATTTTGCCTGATATTTGCTAAGTAATATTTCGTAAAGTTGTTTTAGTTGTATGTGGAAAGAAAATTAAAAACTCATGGTTGAATCCATTTTTTTTAATCAAATTTCAAAATTACCCTATGCAAAAGTATTGGATACATCAATTTAATATTTTGTTGCATAGCCTCTGTTTTGTTTCACTGCTTCCAGTCGCTTTCTATAGTTGGCCACAAGTTTTCCACACTGATCCACCGTTACTTTACCCCATTCTTCCTTGCATAATTCCTCTAATTGCTTAATATTTTGTGGATTCCGCTTATGAACTTTAACCTTCAAAGTATTCCGCAAACTCTCAATTGGATTCAAGTCAGGAGACTGACTAGGCCAATTGAGAGTACTAATACCATTATTTTCAAACCATTCCTTTGTACGTTTTGCGGTATGTTTGGGACCATTCCTCCATGCTTAGAATATAGCCACCGCGGTGGATTGACTGTTGTGTACTGGACATTTGCGTCCTGGACATTTGCGTCCTGGGCATTTGCGTCCTGGACATTTGCGTCCTGGACATTTGCGTCCTGGACATTTGCGTCCTGGACATTTGCGTACCAAAAAACTGCGTCCCTGGAAATTTGCAACCCTAGACAAATGCGTCCATGGATTTTTTTTAAAAACGGCATTTACTGTTAATCTGTCATTGCATTTTGAACAAAAATAAACTTTTAATTTTTTATTTTCTTCTTTTTTTTAAATTATGATTGCTAACTATGTTTTTTTCAAAATTTATGGTAATTGCCTCTAACATCTTTAAAAAAATATAACTGGTATCCAGGGAAGCATTTTTCTAGGAATACAAATGCCAGGGACGCAATTGTCCTAGATTCTGCTACCACATATGATCTGGTGCCCTAATTATATGTCTAGAAATCCTTGCTAAAATCCAAAGAAGAATCAGCAATATTATAAGTCCTGATCAGGCATCTCTGCTTCTGTCGCTTTCCCACCGCATTATGGTTGCCTCCCTGTAACTTTTCTATAAATACTTTCATGATAATCGTTTGGATGAGCTCCTTATGAATTTAAGCACAATAGTAGACTGGCGACGAGGTATCAGTAATTTAGAGTCAAGTTAGCTTGATGTCGATGTAAGTTCTATGCTAACTGTTTATTTTCTCGCCATGTCAGTCGCCTTCTACTGTCCTGATTATTCTTGGTTCTGAAGAGCGTTTCTCTTTTGTAAATCTTCTATTTGTGTCTTACTGTCATGTTTGTGGTTGACCAGATTAACACACACACACACACACACACACACACACATATATATATATATATATATAACAACAACTCGAATATAAGGATCTTATCCAAGGAATTGATAGTAAGTTAATGCTACATTAAGTTCTGTTAGCGAAGTGATTTTGCCATTAATCACATTAACATTGCTATTTAATATTTTGTATAAATTGTTTCTTTATTATATATATATATATATATATATATATATATATATATATATATATATAGTATGTTGACAACAACATTTCTTGGAAAAACACTTCGTTGAATATGTAATTAATTTTTTTTTTATTGCGTTTTTCTAGTATTCTTAATGTTTTTCCGTTCGGTGGGAGTGTAAAATATTATGTAGTGTCTATGTACCAAGCACATTCGTTAACTTCTTTAGCCATGTTGAATGTTTTTCTTGTTAATTGTTATTAAATTTTTACGGTTTCTTTTAAGATGTATTCATGTGATGCATATTGTTTGTTAATTCTTATTAATTCTTCTCAAGGCCTATATATATATATATATATATATATATATATATATATATATATATATATATATATATAGAATAAAAAGAATTTATTTACCAACACAATTTCTTTCTTTGTCAAGACATAACCAAAATATGCTCCCTTAGTTCTCATTATAAAGGAAACTTTCTAAACATGTTTTTAATAATTTCATCAGAGTATCTATTTATCGACATAACCTTCTTTCTTGTGAATGCACTTAATCCAATACTTCTTCCTTGATTTAATACATGAAATATTATACAGTGAATATTTCAGATCCAAATTCCGTTATTAACTCCCAGGCCACAGATATATTGATTAACCCTCTTATATATCTTTATTTTTATTTCTTCTCTTCTTATGTTTCTGAGTATAATTCCAGTCCCTTAGGCAATTGACTATAAAATATGAATTCCAAGCATTGACAGTAAATTGGCTCAGTTGAGAAATCCCAGCCTCCTTTGCGAAATGATAGTATCCTCTTGAAACTAGAACTGAAATGCTCTTATATCAAATGGCTATTATTTCGAAAAAGATTTCGATGGCAATCCTTTCAATGCTACCGTAATCCTCGCCTTGAAATATTTTTAGCTGCCATGATCTGAAAATCGTAAAGGATGGCGTCTCGAATTTCACTTTGGTTTGTATCAGTTTCGGTTTACCGATTTTTAGAGTATTTATTTCGATTTGACCCCGCCCTCCGCATTAAGCCTATCCGCCATTATCACGCGATCTGTTGACCAAAGCCAAGTTTGGCACAAGTTTACATTGCGTAGTACACTAAGAATCCAAATCACAAAAGCTAACTAAACCAACCCGATAACCATCATTCTACTGAAGCTGTTCTATCTATCTATCTATCTATCTATCTATCTATCTATCTATCTATCTATCTATCTATCTATCAGTCTTATTATCTATGTAGGTATGCATCGATAGGTTGCGATGGATAAATTGTCCTTTAAATTACCCAAGAATGAAAATAACACTGACTAACAAACACTTCTTGCTTGTGGAACTCTCGTCCGGCTTCTTGCTTCCCGGTAATCTTTGATCTTCAAAAATTTAAATGCAATGTCAATCGTTATTTTCTATGTTTTAATTCTTATTCTTTTATTGTTTTCTCTCTTTAATAGCGTTTTTTCCTTATATTCTACCACACTCAGCGATCCCTTACGTTTTACTGTCTTTATTACTTTGTTTGGGGTGAAATAATTATTAAAAAATGTATATGGGTTGGAGCTATTCAATCCTCACTTTTCAGCTTTGGCAGAGTTCAAAATCGTTTAAATGGCGGAGTGGGCGATAAATTATTTTCAACCTCACAACCCCTTTCTTGTCGCAAGCCTATCCCACTATCTATCTATCTATCTATCTATCTATCTATCTATCTCAAATGTTCAGATAATAATTCTACCAGTTCAAGCCTTTAAAACTAAGACTTGCTATGCCACAAATGTCCAATTACCCTGATTTCTTTTATATTGCATTAAGACTGATGTTCCATTCAAACATCATCTACCTAGAACTGCAGCTTCAGGCCGAAATGGTAGTAATGCACCATTTATTGCCCGATCTGTCTCTTGCAAAGACACAGCTTAGGAAAACAGTCTCACACACGCACTCTCCCAACACAGATTCAGCACTCCATCTTCTGTCCCACGATAACGCTAAATCCAGCATAAAACTATTACAAATCATAAAAACACGCAATAAGTAAATCTTCAATACACAACTAATACTCACATGTATATGCAAAACAATGCAAGAATGCCCACTCAGTATTAACTACCTACAGAAAACTGTAATATATCAATATACAGTAAAATTCAAAGAAGCCAAGAAAAATATATAGGAATATCAGGATGTCTATGGAAACAGGGACGCTACACACACAAACAACATTTAACAGGAGGAAACAAACTGTCCTATTCTATCAATGAATGGCTACTCAAAATAAAGCAAGAACACACTCAGTACGATGGTGGTGACCTGAAGAAAGTCGGACGACGGCTGAATCGTTGTGAGTATAACAACAGAGAATAACATGCTGGACTTTAGCAAAGTAGTAACGCTGATCCTTCATCTCAAAAAGTGCACTTTTAGTCTCCCCCAATTCTCTCTCTCTTACTCTCTTTCGCTCTCTTCTTCTCTATGCCCTCTTTCTTTTTCTCGCTCTTTCTCTCTCTCTCGTTCTTTTTCTCTCACTGTTTCTCGCTCTCTAGTTCTCTTTTTCTCTCTATCACACTTTCTCTCATTCTCTTTCTCTCTATATCTCCCTCGCTCTCTTTTTCCCACTCCCTCTCACTTTAGCGCTTTTTCTCTCTCATTCCCTCTCTCTCATTCCCTCTCACTCACTCTCTTTCTCTCTCTGGCGTTAGATTTTTATTTTGCTTGGTTTTAATATTCATCCTCGGGAAAAAAAAAGACCCATTGAGTTATTTTTCATTGAGAACGTGACAATATTTGTGTATTTTTTTCTTTGACTTGGACAGATCTATCACCTATTAATTTTACCGGAATTCTCTTCTAGAAGAAAAATGGCCTAAAATTTGTCTTCTGAAACAACACATTTCTTTATATCAAAAAGACAATGCCGAAAAAAAGTCTATTTTGCAGTATTCTTATACAATTTTATCCGAATCTGGTAAATAGTTCATCTATTTTTTTTGTATGGCGAAAAAAAAAAAATGGAAAAAAAAGAAGAAAGACTGGTTTATTTATTAGCTTTTTTATGTAATGAGTCATATTTTTAAGCTGTTTTTTATTTTAAGCTTTTTGATTTTTTTTTTTTCTACTTTTAGGTTTCTTTGTTAAAATTTGTCTTCTTGTCTGAGTCCAAACTGGTTAGAGGACATAAATTTAAAAGACAAACTCTTTGTGCTTTCGAAACAAAAACAAACCAAAAAGAAAATAACAGATAACACACACACACATACACACACACACACACACAAACACACACAAAAAAAATAAAAAAATAAAACAAATTAGATTTCTTTTTTCATTGGCGAAAAAGAAAATATTTCACTTTAGCTTAATTAAAACTGTTTTTAAAGTTATTAGAAAACAAAATGAATATTTAAGAAAAATAATGAAAAAAAAAACAAAAGTTCGTAAATGTCGAACAAAGAGCGTGAATTGGATATCGCCACGTTTTTACTGCAACCTTTTACGAGCAGGACCATTTGTGAGTTAATGGGTGACTTTAAAACGAGACTACTTCGAAAGTGCATTACTCATATTTTTAATGTCTAATATCTTGTCTGGCGCTACTCAATCCTCATTTTCCAGCCTCAACAGATTTTTTTTTCAAAAACGTTTATCCAGCCTTGTGTGTTAAGAACTATTACTAATGCTACAATCCCCATTTTTTAAATTATTTAATCCCAAGAAAGAAGATAATGTCACTTAGAGGGTTATTGGGAGTGTAAGACAATGAGAAGACAATCGAATTGTTCCGCTAGGTGGGGTTATTGGACACGAATCCAACGTATGCTTTCCGATGAAGAGTTGAGGTTTTGTCGGGGTATTCCTTTCCCTTAGGTGACCACGTGGTCCCACATGAACGAGTCCCATCTAGCCGTGTTTTGGGAATTCAGTTTTCTTTTTCTTTTTTCTTTTTTCTTTGTTAGCAGCATTTTTTATTTGCGGCATTAGCAGGGCACTAATGCCACTAAGACGCAAGGTGATACTGGGAGTGAAAGAAAACGTGAAGACTAAAGACAAAAAAACAGGTTTCTGGTCAGGCAACAGATGACGATTGACGATGTATTTAAATTTAAAAAAAAAATGTAGGAGGTGGGGAAGCAAGAAATCGGAAGAGAGTTCCGCAGGCGAGAAGTGCGAGAAAAGTAATTATTAGATTAGAACTTACGGTTACATTTATTTCAACAGTAAAACGATGAGGCCTATTAGCTAGTCGATTGATATGCTTAAATTCACCCGACCGAGGTATTTGGAGGGAGAGTTCATTAGAACGACCGCCATGGAAATATTTATTAAAAAAAAAGACAGAGGGAAGCCATGTGATGGTGGTGGGAAAGAGACTAAAGTCGAGATGCCAGCTGAAGACCAATAACATTGCCGACCCTTTTCGTGATTTCGTCAAGAATATTGAGATGTATAATAGCAGTATCAGGGCGGGTGTTGCGACGATATTCAATGCACGGATGAATTATTGATTTAGAAATGTGCAAGATGGATTCTGGGGAGAAGAACTGTCTGCTACGAAACAGTGAACCAACTTCCTTAGCAGAAGACCTAGCTGTTGATAGAATATAATCGCCCCACTTCAAGCCAATAGAAAACGTGATAACAAAGAATGCGCAATGGCTTTCTCTGCTGGAGGTCAGTATCAGCCATGCAAATGGAGGGAGAAAATAATTTTATATTTCCATAGAAAATGATCTGCCGAGCTACCAGTTCCACCAGTTAAGACCTTTACGGCTAAGATCCAAATACGGCTTGAATACTGTGGCCTTTGAATGTCTTGTTCAACAATATATATATATATATATATATATATATATTCATGAATTATTCACACAAAAACAAATGCAAAGGTTAATGATTTAATTGGCGAGAAATCCATCGTCGCAAACAATTCAAATAATATACAAAAACCTCCGAATCCGTTATGAATGAAAAGATCCTTGTTTCTATAAATTTCTGCCGCATTAGTTCTTATTTTTACTACAAGCTTTCGTCTGTTCCTACAGACATCTTCAGGTATGGAATAGATGTTGTTCTTGTTTTTTCTCTCAGTAATATATATACACACACATACACACACATATTTTCCTCATATATATATATATATATATATATATATATATATATATATATATATACATACATGCATCTTTCATTAAAAAGAAAACTTCCTAAAAAGAGCAAGCCCGATTTCATCCTCTCGATTACTCTTCCTTAAAGATCTCAATGATGTAAAACAGACACTAATCAACAATGGCTTCCCTAACCACCTTATAGATCACCAAATTAGACTATTTCTCGCCAACATACAGTGAAAGATTACATAGATGTTTTCTACAAAAAACAAATGCATATCAACTACAAACAAGATGAATCTTAGAAATATTATAAAGAAATACACTAAGCCAATTGACCTGAATAAAAAAAATCAAATTAATTATCTATTATAAAAAATTTAAGACAGCCAACCTCATCCTCAAAAATAACAACACACCAACTAAGTCAAAATTACAAAGAACGAACATTATCTATGAGTTCAAATGCCCCTTAAGGAACTGTGTTCCTGATCAAACGAGACTCATAAATAATTACATCGGTCACCCAATTACATGCCTATCTAGACGCCTTACGTTACATCTATCTGACAAGAGCTCCATTAGAACCCATTTAAACACACACACTAACCTACTAGACTCCATTCGAAACGTATTAGTAGAAAACACAGACATAATGGCCTCATCCACCTGTAAGAAAAAAAGATTAAAAATAATGGAATCCCTAATAATAAAAAAGAAAAAGCCAGCTCTTAACAATATTAACTCCGAACAAGGCCACAGTGTACTAACCGTGTTCGGAAAATAAAACATTTATATAACACAGTAAAAACATATACATAACTCATGCACTCAATTAAACTGAAAAAAATCAAATCATCCTTGATAATGGCTAAAATTATAGCCGAAAGCGCTTGGAAGTATAAAACATTTGGACAGTTTTTACACACTCTGACCCCAAAAAAGAAAGCTCTTGTTCGAACACAAGAAAAATTAAATAAAAAGCTTAACCGTAGTACCTTGTTTGTCGTTTTTAATGAAACATCCGTCAATGAAGATTTGCTGCCTAACTAAACAATATATATATATATATATATATATATATATATATATATATATATATATATATATATATAATTTGATTAAGTCCGACAATAATTTAATATACTTTCTGTTTATACGTATTTTGTAAAGCTATACGTTATTTAAGACAATGCTCGGTTATGTAATTAAACAGTAGTAATTACAAATTACCGGCCTGAATGTTCGAGAAATTTCGTAGAACATATGCATTTTCCAACAGGAAACGGAACCTGTAACCCTAATGAGGACCGTCATATAGCCTGACATACTCTTACCATTTAGACACAGGGCAGAGTTTGTTGAGCAAAGTTCTAATTACTGTTTATAAACAAACACCTTCGAGGATTTTTCTCGATAAATCCTTTCTGCTTAAGAATCATATCTTAATGTAAACAATGGCAATATATGAATTGAAGTCAGACAATTATTTAATATATTTTCTGTTTATACGCTATTTTTATAGATATAGTTTATTTAATAAATGCTCTGTTTTGTTAATCAAAATGTTGAATTAAAAACAGAGCATTTAATTAAATAAATTGTATTTATAAAGATAACGTATAAACAGAACATATATATGTGTGTGTGTGTGTGTGTGTGTGTGTGTGTGTGTGTGTGTGTGTGTGTGTGTGTAAAAGGCTCAAACTCTAATATTCCATTGTTATAATTTATTACATTGGAATCGTAATCACGATCAAATTCATCAGACCTACAAATTCAAAAAAATTAATTTGTAGGTCTGATGAATTGAATCGTATTTACAATTCAATGTAATAAATTATAACCATGGAATATTAGTGTTTGAGCCTTTTATATTATATTCTTACTCTGTCCTGGATATTGAGTTCTACCTGGATTCTATCCTCTTGGAATTTTATATATATATATATATATATATATATATATATATATATATATATTATTCCTAATGTACAGCTAGTTAGATCAGGGCTACAGGAATGTAGGACGCCCATGGCTAAGATACAAAGACAAGCTGAAAAGCAACTTGTCAGCAGTCAATATACCACATAAAACCCTTGAGCGCTTAGCCTTGGAACTGGTAGAATGGAGATCAACGTATTTTAGTGAACTCAGCAATTTTCAATCTGCTTGTCTGAATCATCTTCAAGAAGCGAGAGCAAGATCTAAAAGGTCATCCAATCTAATATTGATCTCATCTCACAATCCTCACGCTTGCTCCATATGTGGCCTCCTTTGTAAATCACTAGCGGGTCACTTAAGATTATCGCACAAAATTTCATAACTGAATCAATAAGCTGTCAGATCCTCATACGTCGAAACCGACGGGAGAATCCATTATTATTATTATTATTATTATTATTATTATTATTATTATATACATATATATATCGTATATATTTAAATTTTCAGATATCTTTAAAGGAAAAAAATAAATCAAACGACAAGGGAAAAAATATTTTTAGCAGAAGAATGCCGTCATTTTGGGGAGTTTATCAAGCTATAATATCCAATAAATTAAGAAAGGTTCAAGTGGCTTCACTG